CTCACACTCACTTTTGGTGTGACATCAGGGCAATGAGTACCTATAAATGGCACCTCACCCTCTCTGTTTTAAGAAAGCAAGAAAGAAGAGAAGAACCTCTCATTTTATCTCTCTCAAACTCTGCTTCCATTAAAATCTTGATCTAGTATTTCTCTTTATTATTTTTCAGCTAGAATCCATTTGGTGCTACAAAGAGAATTGAGAACATTGCAAGAGACCTCCTCTATTATGGGGTGAAAGAGGCTTCACATTTACAATTGCCACCAATAAAATCGCACTCAGCCCATCATCCAAAGCATAAAGATTCGTATATGATTTCCATCTTTGGCCATCAGTACATCTATCGAAGAACCAAAATCTAGGAAGAAAAAACTCTAACGTTTGAAACCAAATAGAATGCAAAGAGCTATTTCCATCATTTGAATATAAATGCAATTTGAAGATGCAAATCAGTCAATTTTATTTATAATGCTTCCCATCATCAAATAAATTGAAAATTTTAAAAAATGACCACAGAGTTACATCCATAAACAAGAAAGAGTCTTAAGATGAAAGAATCACCTCCTCATCACTATTAGACTTGTTTTGTACGACCATGACTCCACTATCAAACTTCCGCACCATGACTGGACTGTCAAATGAATGAAATCAATTTAAAAATCTACACGAGCATGAGCTGCATGCAAAAGGACACGAATGGCAAGTAATATAAAGTTGTGACCACATCTTCATGAGATCTAGGAAAATAACTCTAAATTCTCGCTAGTAAGTTGAAGAGAAAATCATACATACACATCAAACTTCTCCCATAGGGAACAGGCTTGCAGTAAATCATCAGGTGATATCAATTCTGTGTTGCAGGGATACAAACTTAGTCTTTGGCTTCAGTGAGAGGTGAGACAATGCAAAAAAGAAAAAAAGAAGTAATGCTGATACCAGGCTCCTAAAATAAGGGAAAAAACAAACCTGTCCCCCGGGCGCGATTAAAGAGACAATAAATGTCTATAAGATTCATCATGCCTCCAGATCTCTCTAGCGGGATTCTGACAAAATCTGCCAACTAAGTGTCAAGAAACAAGATTAACATTATCTTCTCCCAAGAAGAAATAAATTAACCAGAATAGTTTCAAAGTTATCATTAACTCAAAAATAATAAGCATCAATGTGAAAATTTATTTTACCCATCATCCAAGCAAGGACATTAGCTTATGTGAGCCATATTTTAAGGTTTTCCATTACGTTTGCTGTTTCTATGATCCATGAGTAACGCTGACGAAAAATCTCCATTCAGCTTTAGACTGATATGGAAGGAAATCAGACAATTTCCTTTAGAAGATTTAGAACATATAATATTTTTCAGTTGAAAGAGTCAGAGCAGCAAATGTATGAAGGAAGACAACATGTGATTTCTTTTTTCACAGTAAAAATAGGGAAAAAAGAAAAAAAGAAGAAAAATAAGTCATTCCACCAGGTTATTCAATAATAGATGACATAATGACAAACATTGAAATCAAATTCTGGATATCCCTTTTTCTCCAAATGGAAATATCACAACTGCATTTTCTCCTGAAAGGAACTTTAAGGGGGAAAGAACAAAAATAATAAAGAACACAATATAATAAAACAAAGACTAGTAACGAGAAAGGATATAGAAGAGAACCTGACGGGACAGTTGTTGATGATACAGTGCACCAGCAGATTCCTTTGTAACTGGAGACACAATACCAACACTTAACAACCAATCTTGCATCTCTTCCTTAGAACCCATTTCCTCATCATTTGTTGTGAAGTGTGAGAGTTCGGTCCAGATAAAA